GTAGCAATTGTAATTGCTGAGATCTCATCCAGACAGCCAGCCAGCCATAACGAATATAATAGCGTATTTTTTTCAAAAATGTGCTAATAATTAAGTTGTTATGCTGGTAGCGCTATCTAACAGTAAAATTATAGCACCTCCGAAAACCATATCGAATTTATTTTCTTAGATGATCGATCTCACGAGCAATCTAACTCAAAATAGACTAGAGTCTGCACATCTACACTACATCAGAAAGCTTTTAGTGAAAATTTGAAGTCTCTAGCTATTGTAATTGTTGAGATCTCAGTCGGACAGTCAGCCAGCCATGACGAATATAATAGCTTATTTTTTCCAAAAATGCGCTAAAAATATCAATCCGGTGGTTTTATTACAGATACCGGTATAAGCGATATTAGGTAGGTACTTATACATGTTTGTCAAGGTAATATTAATTTCTATAGGTAGGTACCTACTTGACTATATTCTGTGATCTTTTTATTTATTTGGTTGGGTACCTACCTTAATTAACTAAGAAGTAAAGTCAGAAGAGAATTAAGCGGTAGGTACGTCATCGAGATACCTACCGATCCAATAAAACTAACACGTTCTTTTGAAGGAGGGTAGGTATATCTTCTATGTTTACATAGGTATTTTGCACGAAAATGTTGGGAATTTTTTTGTAATACTAACTAATAATAACGGAAATATATAGAGCATTAAATGGGTAGGTATTATCACATTATAGATAACCCTGAGTTCTTAGTCTTTGAAATTTCTTAAATTTGGATCTCATAGGTGCGGTCGTACGCAACTCAATTTTTTTAAGTACCTATACACTAAAAGAAAGCCCTATTCTTTCTCTATATGCACTGGTAAAAATGGGTGGCTATATATAAATACAACAGTTTTCAAGTGATCAATTTTCAAGGTGTCGTCTGCATCCGCCATTTTTCTGGAAGTAGAAATAACTTAAAAACCATAGACGTGTGGGTATCAAAAGAACTGAAATTTCACCTAAAATCAAAAAATTGAGTAAAAATTCGGTTTTCCATTTAAGAAGTTACTAGTTACGTCCGGTATTTCCGGAAGTGCCATCATTTTCAAACTACCTATTTTACAGCGATTCAGTCTTCAGAGTAACTGAGACGTACCTACCTATATTTCATTTTCCTAGAAACGTTTAACTACATCAGCTTCCAGAAAACACCCTGTATATCCTATACCTATACCTACATATGTACATTAGGATTGTAGATTACTCTTACAGTATAGTTTAAATTTCCCCACCCTGGTCAACTCTGTGGCTATATGGTGCTAAACCTACTTATATAGAAAAAATTAATGAACATATTTTCTGATATGGTAGGTGCTATAGGCATTTCATAACAAGGCGTTGTCAAGGGGGGCGCGAGATCCCTGATGTGTTTGAGGCAAATACTTACCTTTAAACTATTTATATTATGTATTTTAATGTACAATTGTATTTGACCAATTTTTACACCAATAAGAAGGTACAGTGGCGTAGCGTAAGGGGGGGGGGCGGAAGGGTGGTCCGCCCCGGGCGCCACTTTAATGGGGGCGGCAACGTCATACCTGCCAATAATATCCTGGGGCGCTTTTGAAAATAATTAAAAGTAGAAAACGATAAAAAAAATCTTGAGAAAATACATTTAAATTTTGGTTTTGTAAACAACGACGATGACCATCGACGGACTTGAAGATGCTTTATCGGATAAAAACTGGGGCGGCAAACCTTGATCGCACCCCGGGCGCCAACAAGCTACGCTATAACGCGGGCTACGCCACTGAGAAGGTAGGTATCTACAATCTGTAAATTTATGCTGATGAAAGCATTGATGTTGCACAATGTTGCCAGTGTGCGATAGAGATGTGTTATGGATGCAATATCCGACTTGATTGAAAAACATAATATTTTATGGGCCATAACAACTTTTTTAGCACCGTCAGGCAGTTGAGAAAAATTTACCAAGCTTTTGTTAAAATTATTTTTTGATATTTTTGAAAATACATGGACACCAACGTATTCTCGAAAATGACATTTTTCGGTTGTTTGGCCATAACTTCGCTATTTGTAGACCTACAGGACTTTTTGGAATGGAAAATTAATCACCATACAATATTGCATAAATTTGCTCCAAACGGCTTTGTATTTCTTACCTATAGGTACGGTTTCCGAGTCCCCATAATGAAAAAAAACTCACCCTGTAATTTTTTAAATAATTACGTTTGTAGTAACAGCACTTTTTATTTTTTAATCGGGTTAGGGGCGGGGGGGGGGGGATTAGTAAATTTAGTTTTATGAAAGGGGGCGCCATGGAAATAGTTTGAGAACCACTGATCTAGAGGAAAATTTTTATTAGACTTTTTTACACAGAAAATAATGCGGATCCACGTACAGGTAAGAGTTTTATCGCTCGAAAAGATACACCCTGTATATAGGTACCAACCTATAGGTTGATACCTACTAACGGAGCATGGGTAGTATATAGGTAAGTACCTATATAATAACTTTGCTCCAATATATATCGCCGCCCAGAGGATTATTATAGGTAATATTTTCTCCACTATAATATACCTTAAGTAGGTAGGTACCTACTTATATCTAGAAGAAAGGGAAGTGGCGTAGGCTCGAGATTAGATACCTATATCTACAATTATATTAGTAGATTCAGCATTCTGATGGAGGCAATGGTAATTCGGACCTCTTGTCTGCTAACCTTTTTGTTTAGACTCATCTTGATGATGTTACCTACATACTTTTATAATTATATCTATCCCGATGGGGGTATTTGACCTTATTTTAAACTTAGATATAGATAAGTATAAGTAAGTAGGTACTATCTATAAGTATACACATACAGGGTGACAATTTGAAAACTTACCACCCCCCATATCTTAGTAAATAAACGAGATATTTAAAAAAATCAAAATCCGTTTCGGTAATTCCGAGGGGGAATCACAATGACATAGTTGGCGACGCACCCCCTCACACCCCCTGCGCCCCAGCCACCCCAACTTTTAAATCTTAAATAGTGACCCCCATGTGTGATACGTCGTTGGAAAGCTCTGAAAAAATGCTTTCCAACCATACCAAATAGCATTACATTTAGGTTAGTAATTATCGTGCAAATCAAAAAATAAACATGGACAATCGTATTTAACTTGAACTTCCAAAGCCGACTCGACAGCAACTCATTTTTGATCGCCAGTTATAATCTATTCTCAAACTCTTGTCGAACCTTTTCAAATGTTGGTTTTGCAATATTTCGGCATTCTTGAATTATTCTCTGTCTTAGTTCGTCTAATGTTCGCCGGTTGCGTTTTAAATACGACAGATTTCAAATGTATCAGATTAGTTTATTTTTTGATTTGCACGATAATTACTAACCTAAATGTAATGCTATTTGGTATGGTTGGAAAGCATTTTTTCAGAGCTTTCCAACGACGTATCACACATGGGGGGGTCACTATTTAAGATTTAAAAGTTGGGGTGGCTGGGGCGCAGGGGGTTGGAGGGGGTGCGTCGCCAACTATGTCATTGTGGTTCCCCCTCCAAATTACCGAAACGGATTTTGATTTTTTTAAATATCTCGTTTATTTACTAAGATATGGGGGGTGGTAAGTTTTCAAATTGTCACCCTGTATAAGTACGGAACAGGATGGACTCTATAATGCGTTATTAACTTCTTATGCAGAACTAAAGCATGTATAGGTACGGAAAAATTACTAGTTAGGTACATAGGTAGGTACCTATAGGTAGGTATAGGTACACCTACCTATGTAATTATGTTGGTATGGGTAAAAAAACTTAATTACTATTGCTAACCGTACGGCTTAATTTCATACGAATAGGGAATACCATCATGCATGTAAAAATAATGTTAATGTAATTGTTGTGAAGTAAGATATAGATACCTAGCTAAGAAAGGCAGGAAGTGCCCCACCTACATACTCCAGAATTCCCTTTGTTTATGTTATTATTTTAAAGCATCCACTTAAGGATTATCTAACAAGCATCATGAAAACAGCCCCACCACAACAGAAAGCTTTCTTTCGCAAATCCTACAACATTCACCTTATTCTTTCTTATTAAACGGCATCATTTACTTATCTGCTTTGGTAAATAGGTATATACACGAGTAGGTAACTGCTCTATAACAATACGTAGACATGCGTAAGTATCAAGTGCTTTTTCCTAGGGATATATAATTAGGTATTGTTACAATACGTTTAAGCAAAATATAAAAAATTTTGTAGCTGTGGTGCACGTTAGAGACGAGACTTAGAAAGTTTCACGTAACGGTAAGCGATTTATGTATCGATTTAGTCAAATTATAATTTGATGTAAATTTATTTAAATGACATTTAAGATTAACTACTTACGTATAAATGACAAATAAATTTAAATTCGTTAGTTGCGTTTCGTAATGGAACTTTACGACGCTAAACTGTGTATACCTACTTATATACGAAAACGAATCCTCATCTATAAGAGGTTATTAACATAATCGTATATACGCTTTACAATTAAATTTTAATTCCTCCGTAAATATTTATTGATCGCCTGCAAGAAGAATATAAGAATTACGAAGTGATTAATGTGTAACTTGGGAATGAAATCAATTATTGTTTAACACAGCAATCAATGACATTTAAAACAGGTGACGTGCGAAAAACTAATAAATCATGAAACATAACTAATGAATCCAAAAATACCCCATAACTATACTCCTTCAAGCGTATATCACTCAGGCAGGCCTAAAACCCCATAAAATCTTTAGGGTAATGGCTGAAAATGTGTACTATGTAGTTTGAGAGGGTGCGAAAAATATATAAAAGTTCGTTTAGAACAAAGATACACATATCTAAAGGCGCATGCCTGTACGGGACCAGTTATTAGACGTCTTCAAACCATGAAAACATTAAAGCAATGTGTTTTTCAATGGCGCAAGCGCTTTTAAGTTAACATAGGAGCTTTTCAAGGCGGGCGTAACCATACTCTCAAATAAGCTAAGGCCGACTAGCATGGCCGCGGGATCATCTTAACAAGTGCATAGTTAGTGCTAATAGTTTTAAAAAGAAATTGTGGAAATAAAATTTTATTTAACTTTTATGGTTTTTCTTTGTGATGATTTGTCCCGTGCCAATGGTCCAATAGATAAAAAATCAACGGAAGTCCCTTGTAAGTTTTAAGTTTAGGTACTATATAGTTCTTTTTATGTCTTTGTATATTGAGAAATAATTATGTACTAAATTTTTATTATAGTTGTTATAATTATTTCACGACACAATCATGAAGCTCTTTCTTTTCATTCGCAAGACGCGCGTCGGGCCGGTTCAGGGTGAGCTGGCATGGCATTTTTCGCGTTAGTTACGCCGTTTGCGATATGCGTGATGACTTCTTATTTACCTACTATTTGTCTGAGCTAGTGACTTGTGTGTACCTAATTGTGAAATATGGCCTTTGGATAAAATATGATCATTCGTTTACAGAATATGTGTCTTGATAGGTAAATATTTGAATATTATGTTGACATGTATACCTATGCATATAGCTACGTCTACCTATAGGTAAAAGTATACCTAATATACGGACTATCGTTTGCATAAGTAGGTACCTTTATAGCCTACGCGGTTAGCACCTATTATAATTACCTAGGCATCAAATTTTCATTTAAAAGAGATCATCCCTATAGTGTTTAATATGTAAACAATGTTTCTAGGTACGTACCTATAGCTATTTGCATTTATTTTCTGCCAATTTTATTCCAAGGGCCCTAGATAAACATGATAACACAGCTATATATGTGATAAATTTATAAGGCGCAGTTCCAGTTTTCGTTCGTCATGTACGTATAGGTATACTTTGGTACCTATTCCTATACGATATACCTATACCTTTGCCGCCGGTATTTCTGGTATTTCGGCATAGGTACCTATACTTAGCCATAGGTATAGATTTTCTTTAACGCTTATAAGGAACATGCATGCGTAGGTATTATAGTTTAGTGTCTATAATAAGAAACGCATGTGAAGTAGGTAATTGTACTTAAGGTGCTTACCAGCACAAGGTATAAAGTGCATGATTATGTTGCAGCGATCTACCTATAATACCTATAGATGTATTTTTACCAATTCTCGCTTACAATAGGAGTGTGTCTACCTATAGGTAGGATATACCTATAGCTGTCAAAATTCAAATCGATTTACTACTTCTATAGGTACTAATTAATTAACTAATCCATTGTAAAATTGCCGCCGGTAAAGTTCAATTAAAATTTATCAAAAGAAAATTGGATAAACAACCGATTCAAAGGAGAATGTTCTTGTTTCGATAGGATAAACTCAAAAATGATGTCAAAATGAAACTTAAAATGGCACTGCGTCTGCGAGCTTTTGACGCAATAGGTATTAAATTTTTAGGTTTTCTACGTAGAGGTAGGTACCTATACTACATACCTATAGAAATGAGAAATATGTACCTAATCTTTTTCTTTTCATCCATAAAATCAGACGATTATAGGTACCTATTATAGCAAAATAAAGATGTTTAATTTTTCAATTTTCAACATTTATAGGGCTGTGGTAAAAAATCGAAAATAGAAATGAATTTTAGGTTTAATTTCCTAATCATGCAAAAGTCTCGTTTATCTAAAATTGACTGAATGAATACCTAGGTATAGTTGTTGACAAACAATTCTATATGATACCTATTCATTACAAGCAGATACGCAAGCTAGCGTATCAATGTTTATAATTTTTAACTCAATATTTTGTTCCACTCGAAATGGAGAGGTTCGGTCCATAACAACCGCCTTAATTTAAACATAAAGTTGACTTCAGATATAGAGGAGACTTTTGTTGTGCGATTATGAAATTGGCTCTTATAACGATTGACCATCGGTAAAGATGAGCATATTCGCGTGAAAAATTGAATAAGTATATTGATGAAAAGTTGACAGATCCCTATATTCAAAGAAATAGTTCCTCCGAAATTAATTTTATTTTTCATTTGCGTATTATACGACAATTGTATCTGTCGTATGAGATATAGGTAGGTATAAAGCAGTCTATGAGGTCCGAGGGCGTAATGAGAGGGCATAATGTATTGTCATCTCATATTATGCCCTCAAACGTCCTGTCAAATAGGTATATTCATGGACTTTGGATTTTGGATTTTTTCTCTCTCTCTTCTCACTTATCTTATGTATTAAAAAAAGATGCTACTTTAATGTTTGGCAAACAATAATAACCATTACACTGTAGGTATATTCGAAATAGGTACATTATTTGGGATTATGAAAAATAAAATTTTGCTTGCACCTCAGGCATTACTTGATATTTACCCCTCGGACGACTGACAAATTACAATCCCTCGGGCCAGAGGCCCTCGGGCTCTGTCGGCCTCGGCATAAATATTGCCTTATTAATGCTCTAGATACATAAATAGGTACCTAACAATTTTGTAGTATCTACTACCTAAGCAAATTTCCATAGCCCATAAGGATTAATAAGAAAATTCCCATTGGAATGAAGTTAAATTTATATACGCAAAGATGTGTGTCTATATAACGCTATTATATCTAAGTATATGCACTTACATAAATATTTAGTCCTTAGATGTATCAATAACGTTAGACTTAACGTGCGGGTTATCTGTAGAAAACGTTATTTTACCTATAGGTACCAAATAACGCAAATTAACGTTTTTTGACAGATAACCTACACGTTAAGTTTGCCGTTTCTGATACATCACAGCGCACTACCTAGTTTAGGTATCGGCAGCTGACCTTCACTGTTTCAAATGCAATGTACGGTGTGTCACAGGTAAAGCGTATACCATATGGAAACGGCAATGTATTTTTTCGCCAAGAATACCCGAGATCTTTGAAATTAGGGGCCAAACGTACTACTCCCATCTTTTTCTAGCATCAGGCAAGCGCAAGCGCTATATTGAAATGCCTATGCAGGCTGATTCAAATTCGAGGGCCACCATGGGGATCTCGGGAACTGTAAGAGATATAAGTAGTTAGGTAGTTTAAATTTGGCAAAGTTGCGTATTTTGATGCTAAATGCAGTTTGGAAAAAATTCCGACTATACTTTCGGGAGGGAAAAAAATGCCCATAAGAATGTTATTTATTTTGAAAAAAATTTTCAAATAGGTAACTTCAGTAAGAAATAAAAACAATTTTGCAAAATTTCGTTTTTTTCCGGATATCTCCAAAAGTAGTGGGAATTTTTTCAGATTCAAAACTGCATTTTGTTTAGCATCAAAATACGCAACTTTGCCAAATTTAAACTACCTACCTACATATCTCTTACAGTTCTAGAGATCCCCATGGTGACCCTCGAATAATAAATCAGCATATCCTTCGCAAAAAATACATTCACATATGTTTGCCTATGGTGCGTTCCGAGGTGCGTTCTGTCTGAGACGCACGGTAAGTACCTACCATTAGGTACTTATATACTCTTATAGATTTGGGCATAAATTTCTCGAATAATCGGCGACCAGACCAAATATTTTCAAAATTACGCGTAATGTGTTAATAAGTGTTGCGAGATACCTAGATATCAAATTTTCAAATGACGAACTTAAACGATTCATTTTTTAAATAGAAAAACTTGTACCATTTAAATCACAGCCTACATCAAATGATTAGAAAAATTGCCGCACATAAACTTTGAAACTACATTATCTTCTAACTCATCATGGAGTCAAAACTTTAGACCTATAAAGTCGAAAAAAACCGTCGGATCCATTCTAATATTGTGGTCTGATAGTGTAACGGAGATATGATGCATTTTAGAAATCCAAGTGTCAGAGTCTATACTCAGAAAAAATGTGACTGGATAAAACGCATCTGTTGATACTTGATGGGGTCAAAACTTCAAACCCCCGAATATCTCGAAAATGGAGGTTTGGATGTTAGTAGTCACAAAAAGATGGTACCTATATATTAGGTCTCACTGACTGACTGATCAAACTACTCAGCTTGGATTCGTAATTCTGGCCCCGAAATAAAAATTTTTCGAACCCCCCTTTTGGAGTTTATTGCTATTTAAAGCGTCAAAAGAAACTCGATTCGTTGTTGAATTGAGATTTTCCAGAAACATTCACACGGTATCAAAACCATTTGGCCCATGATTTACCCGGGTATTTAACCTCTGATCAACAGTTATTGTTTTTGTTAAAATCAATAAACATTACAGTACTAATGAATATTGTGAGGGCATGCGATAAAAAACATAAGCAGTTTTAGATCCAGATTTGTATTAATTTAATGTTTTTCTAAATTAACCATAAACCTGAATTGCACTTTGTACATTTATCTAAGTAGGAAAATTTGCTGTGCCCAGCACAGATACCACTGGCACACCTGCGCATGCGCGATTCTGCCCAAAAGCTTTTCATCTCTTCCTTTTATGTCTAAAAATATGTGTACCAAATTTGGTTCCAATTGGTTTAGCAAAAAATGAGACTATACAGACATCAGACGGACCGACAGACGGATAGACCGGCAGACAAATAGACATCATTGAGATTTGGTTAGATTCGTATTCCTGGTGTTTTAAAACGTGTATTTCCGTCAAAAAAGTGGGGGGGGGAGTATCTTTTACCCCAATGCAATGCAATACCTACCTACCCTTATTAACGTGCGGGTGGTAAAAAATGGGATAGGATCGTGCCAATGTTGAACGAAAAGTCTTTTCGTTCAACATTGGCACGATCCTCTTAAGGAAGTCGCTCGCATCTTAAAAAAAAACATAGATTGTAAATTGACACAAGGTGCGCTGATGTGACCGGCAATCTTTCCTGGCGAGAATTATACTTATCCCTTAACCCTTATTTATCAAATACACTTATGTACGCAAACCGTCCGAATGAAATGTTATGTAAAAAATGGTGGAATTTGTATACGTCGAACGTGGCGCTAAATTTAATGTCTATAACTTAAAAAAATTACAGTTCATTACAGTACCAACTAAAACAACTAAAAACTGACAAAACAAAATACAATTGAATACAAGATAACTTTGATTTTAAAACGAGAGATTGGATATATAGAAAATTCAGTAGGTATAATACCTACATTTCATTTATGTGCAGTTAACATCGTCATATGGCATATAAGAATGATTTAAGTTTTAATCTATCTTCGACAAAGTGTTTTAAAAAG